GGGAGGTATATAACCTCTCCTCTCCAAACCTGGTTTTCTTGAGTGAGACGAAAAATAGAAAGCCTGTGATAGACAGACTGACTAGAGTTTTAAATTGTAATGGTAATGTGAATGTTGAAGCTATGAACAGAGCAGGTGGTATGGCTTTGATGTGGAGTCAGGATACTAACATCTTGGAGATGTATAAATCTGCTTTCACGATAGAAGCTAAGCTAGAAGATCCTGATACTCAGGTTAGCTGGTGGTTTATTGGGATTTATGCTAGCTGTGACCCTATGATCAGAAAAGAACAATGGAGGGTACTAAGTAATAGGAGAAATCTGTGGGGACCTAGATACATTATTGCTGGGGACTTTAATGACATTCTGTCCAATGATGAGAAGTGGGGAGGAGTTCTAAGGCAGGAGAGAAGTTTCGAGAACTTTAGAGACTTCATAGATCAGAACAGCCTTATAGATATCGGGTTTGAGGGACAACCTTGGACGTGGAGCAACCATTGGGATAATGAAGGAGAGGTTAGGCAAAGGTTGGACAGATGTTTGTGTAATATGGATTGGTTCCAAGTTTTTGGAAAGGCTAGATGTCAACATATAGACACTTTTGCGTCTGACCATTCTATGCTTTTACTAGATACTGAACCGGGGAAAGAGAGAAGAAAGAAGAGATTTTATTTTGACAAAAGATGGCTCCAAAGGGAGGGGATCCAACAGGTGATAGAAAATGCTTGGAGTAAGGAAGAACAAGGATCTAGAATGTTCAAAGTAACTAGGAAGGTTAAAAATTGCAGAATTGAGCTTTTGAAGTGGAGGAATACTTTCCAAGCAAATTCTAGGCAAAGAATTACTGATCTGAAAAAGGAATTTGATAGAGTTAAGGATTCGAGTTTTGCCAATAGGAAAGATATCCTAGCTCACATAAAAGACCAATTGAAAGTAGCTTATAGGGAGGAAGAAAATTTCTGGTGTCAAAAAGCTAGGATCAGTTGGCTTAGGGAAGGTGATAAAAATACTAAGTTCTTCCATTCCTATGTTAAAGGCAGAAGAGTGAGTAATAGAATCAGAACCTTGCAGAAAGAGAATGGTTCATGGACGACGAATGAGCAGGAGGTTGTGGCTGAAATCTCAGACTTTTTTAAGGAGTTGTTTAACAGTGGGAGGAGGGGTGATATGTCAGAAGTTCTAGAGGGTATTCCTCAATCCATAACCCAGGAAATGAATGAAAGACTGACTAAAGATGTGGAGGAGGAGGAAATTCATGAAGCACTTTTTTCTATGAACTCTGAAAAAGCCCCAGGTCAAGATGGGATGACTCCTTTGTTCTTCCAAAGGTTCTGGAGTACCATCAAATGTGATGTTATCCCTGCAATCAAAGCCTTCTTTTCATCCGGATACATGCTTAAATCAGTTAATCATACTGTCATATCCCTGGTCCCTAAAATGTTGCATCCAACCAGTTTGAAGAACTATAGGCCTATCAGTCTTTGTAGTGTACTCTACAAAATCATTTCTAAAATCCTTGCTAATCGACTGAAGTCTGTCCTGGATAAATGCATAAGCAAAACTCAATCTGCTTTCATCCCAGATAGACAGATCCTTGACAATGTGATGATTGCACATGAATATATGCATTACCTCAAAAACAAAAGACAAGGAAACTATGGATACATGGCAATTAAATTAGACATGGCAAAAGCATATGATAGGGTAGAGTGGCACTTTTTGCAGGCTATGATGGAAAAAATGGGTTTCTGTCCGGTATGGATTAAATGGATCAATAGCTGCTTGAAGACTGTAACTTACTCTTTCAATTGCAATGGAGAAGCCAAAGGTTTTGTTACTCCAGGGAGAGGCATACGACAGGGAGACCCTCTGTCCCCTTATTTATTCTTGATCTGCTCTGAAGGACTATCAAGTTTGCTGAGGAAGGCTGAAGAGAGTAGCAGAATTCAGGGATTAAAAATCAGCAGGCAAGGACCTGAACTTACCCATCTTTTCTTTGCTGATGACTCCCTCATTTTTTGCAAAGCTGATAAGCAGCAAGCTACTGAGATCATGAATATTCTTAAAACCTATGAAGCTGCCTCAGGTCAAATGGTCAATCTAGACAAGTCTGCAGTATTTTTCAGCAGAAACATGATTAGTGATCAAAGGGAGGAAGTTCGCCAGGCATTAGGAGGGATGAATGAGGCTAAGCAAGGAAAATATTTAGGTCTCCCTATGGTGATTTCAAGAACCAAAGACCAGATTTTTGGCTTTGTTCGAGAAAACATTAAAAGGAGACTTCAAAACTGGAAAAGCAAGTTCCTCAGCTCAGCAGGGAAAGAGGTAATGCTAAAGTCAGTAGCTATGGCCATGCCAACGTATGTCATGTCATGCTTTAAGCTATCAAGGAAACTTTGCAAAGATATCAGTGCTCTGATGGCTAACTTCTGGTGGGGAGAAACAAGTGGCAGAAATAAAATGCACTGGACTTCTTGGGAGAGAATGGCACGAAAGAGGAATGAGGGAGGACTTGGATTCAAGGACCTTGAGGCTTTCAATAAAGCAATGTTAGGGAAGCAGGTATGGAGAATCCTCACCAAGCCAAACCTTCTTGTGAGCAAGGTGCTAAAAGCTAAATATTTCCCTAAGGAATCTATACTTCATTGCAATCCCCCCAAAAGTGCCTCCTGGATTTGGCAAGGCTTAATGGGAGCAAGAAGTTTGCTGGATAAGGGACTGATTAGGCGAATTGGCAATGGCAGGAATACACGAATCTGGGAGCATAAATGGATACCAGAGACAATCTCAGGAATGCCAAGTACAGTTAAGCCAAACAATTGTGATTTGGAAAGAGTGGATGAGCTCATTTGCCACAACAGATGGAACAAGATCACCATATTTAAAGTCTTCAACAGAAATGATGCTGAGAGGATCCTAAGTATTCCCCTAAGTCTTTCAGGGAGGGAAGACAGCTATTACTGGCAACCACAGGCAGGTGGGGAGTACACGGTCAATTCAGGTTACAAAATCCAAATGAAGAACAACAGACAAGTAAGGGAGGGTGGTTCAGAGGTAGCTGGTTCGAGTTATATAGAGGGGAGTCAGCAAATGTCACAAATGTGGAACACACTCTGGCAGCTTAACATCAAGCACAAAATCAAGCTCTTCATTTGGAAATGTATACAAGGAGCTTTACCAGTGAGAGAAGCCGTGAGTAGAAGAACAAAAATAGGAGATCCAATATGCAGAACCTGTGGTGAGGCACAGGAAACAGTTGAACATCTATTGCTAACATGCCCCCACACGGTTGACATTTGGAAGGCATCACCTATTCACTGGGAGGGGGCTCAGGATCAGCAGGGAGATTTCAGAAGATGGTGGTTTAGAATCTCAGAAGCAAGGGCAAGACCAGAAGGGAAGGAACATATTGGATTAACGGCAAATATCTTGTGGCAAATATGGAAAGATAGGAATAAGAAGGAGTTTGAGAGCTCAACTAGATCACCACCACTGAGAACAGTAGAGAAAGCACATAGAGAGTGGCTGGAGCAAGTGGAAGTAGAGAAATCAAAAGATAGAACGAGCACAGAAGAAACAGACCACATGCATGATCAACAAAGCCAAGGCAATGAAGCTCAGGGAGCTATGATCATGGACCTGTCAACAGCTACAAGGAAAGGTCAAAACAATCTAGGCATTGGAGTAACAGTTAGAACAACTACAGGCACCAAGATTGCAGAATGGAAGCTGAAAGAAAGAAGCCTGGGGAACCAAAGCCTAGATGATGCATTAGCTTTAAAGTTAGTCCTGTGTAAAGCTGCGCAATATCGTTGGAACAGAATCAAGCTCAATTTTGCCAACAAGGAGCTGCTGAAACAACTAACAAAAACACAGCCTATGGGGAGCAGAATGGCTACATTGCTGGAGGATATTGTGAATGTGAAAAAACTGTTTTGCATGTGCTCCTTTTGCTTGAGTAGGGAAGAAAATATGATAGATAGTAGAAAATTAAGTGTTGATGCTTTAGGCATTATTGTGGATGAGGAAAGGAATGTTCCTCAGTGTCTTTGAACACTTTTGTAAAGTTCTCTCGAGCCGTTGCTCGCACTTGTAAATTTTTTCCTTACTATAATGAAAGTATCCTATCGTTTCGACAAAAAAAAAAAAGTATAAGGCCCAACTAATTTTGCGAGATGTCTCCATCCTCGAATATATCATTAATTACATATAATAACAAAACTCTCAAATTTCACTGACAACAATAATAAAACTCCCTAATTATAGATAAGATTAAATGACCTAGTAAACATGTCTTGCAATCACAAAAATTTTCTAATAAAATACTAATTCTTAAATAATAAAAAACTAGTATGACTTGATTCCAATAAAACTAGTACTAAAAACTTGATTTGACTAAAACATTGCGAAATAACAATATAGAAACTTCTATTTCTAAGGCTTGATTTAATATTCTGTCATATTAAGTCTGTAATGTTGCTCGAGTATTATTACCGTATCTCTAGCCGAATTTTACACTTCAACTGGTGGGATTTATTTATTTTTTTAGCCCCTTTTTTTGATGGCTCTTAAGTGGTTTTCTGGTGCAAGAATGTACATCTCAATTGTAAAGGAAAAACTGCGATTACCGGTATATTCTGCAATTCTTGACTGGTACAATATAAGCAAAGAAGGGAATACAAGGACTGCGATTTCCAGTAGTCTAGGACTTAGTTTACTTTTGCATGATCTGTTATTGCCTTACAATGACCTTAAATTTTTGCACCTCAATGCATTTGCTTAATTGGCTGTTGTAGCTTGAACAAAAAATTGTGCTTCTCGATGGTTGGACTGCGATATTTGAGATCGCTTTAATCATGTTTTCATTTCTCTGATTATGCAGGATCAATCTCTTAATCCAGAGCAAAGGAAACAAGAAACAGCACTTTCATCCAGCTGACAAGGGGAAAAAAAAACAAATTCAGATGGAGTTTTGGATGTCATTTGAGCCTTTTGGTTTCTTTGTAGCATCTGTCTTCTTAAAACTAATGTCTTTGAGTTGCTTGGCTTGCATAAATTTATGTTTCAAATCATTTGCGCCAGAGGTAAGCTTTTTGTTATGTCCGCCCACCTTGCAACGTGAATCCATTGGCAAAGGCAAAATCTGCAACTGTATTGGCTGAAAGAAAATGTGCAGGACAACGTTTCCTTAGTTCTTTGACAAACAATTATCCTGCCAGATGATTGATGCCTGCACAACATTTCCTTCTCTCGCTAGCAACTGCAGCTTTTCCTTGTTGAAGTAACTGAGGAGGCAGCAGTTAGTTGGAGGTCTGGTGGCACTGGCTTTTCAGCTGAATGGCCAGAAATGCAGAGATTGCCTGTATCATCCTGTGCCCAGAAGATATCCACCATAAGGCCTCTGGGATTCTGGCGGGACTCCGTTCCTGGAATTTTAACATACTCCGCTCCAAGAGGCACCTGCAAGATGATTGTTGAACAGCATTCTTTTGTGATTTTTACCATATTCTTACCCTATCAAAATCATTCAAAATGCAAAAGCTAAACTAAAAGTTCTTGCCTGCAGTGTGGCCCCTGATGGCAAGGTCAAAGTTTTCATGTTCTCCTTAGGATTAAATGTTTGTAGCGCTGCTTTCTTTGCTATATTTAGGAAAACTTCTTCAAGCGTCCCGAGACCTATTTGGATGCTTTTGATGCCAAATTCGCTCTCTCTCTTTTCCAGCTCAGAAAAGAATCGCTGATGAAGGAATGGAAAATCATGCAGTCAAGAAGGACAATTGTAACTTTGGCATCAGTAATTACAAAGACGAACTCAGAGGAACTTACTGCTAATATCTCTTCCTCAGCACTTGGTAGAGTAAATGTCAACATGCATTCGTTTTCCACTTTTGGTTCAACATTGAGCCGCTGTAAGATATACAAGGAAAATATTAAACAGGAATTTATTGATGCGAGGAGAAACATTGACAATCTTATTATCAAGGAATCATACCTGTTGGAAAAAGAGTTTCACAGCTTCTCGATGCTTTGCATTGATGTCATTCTCTCGGGACAAAATATTGTAAAGACTTTTGGGGAATGTTACCTTTGCAGCGTAACCTGAACCAAATCTTGACTTGAGCACAATAGAGATGCCAATACAGCGAAGCATACCCTTTGCCATTATTCCGATGCGATCTGATAAAACATCAGCTTCAACCATAGAATGTGTTGTGAGGATGATAGAACGCCCTTGCTTTGCATTCTCAATTACATTCCAGATGCGTCTCCGAGTAACAGGATCCATTCCAGTTGTCTACAAATTTGTTAATGGATTTGATTTCAAATAATAAATGGATTAAACGTATTCAGGAGGAAAGTAGTTCAAATGCTATATACTGGTTCATCCAAGATAAGAAGTTTCGGGTCTCCAATAAGAGCAATTGCTAAACTTAGTCGGCGCCTTGTACCCCCACTGTAGCTTCCTGCTCTTACATTAGCAATCTTGTCAATGTCGACATCAGCCAGCAAACGTTTCACTTCCTGTAGTTGTGTAAATTGAGAAAGTTAATGTTAATAAGAAAAACTAGTTCTGTAAACTGCAAATGCTAAATGCAGAGTAGAGAGGTAGGACCTTTCAATATAGTTTTTTGCAAAACTCACTGATTTTCGTGTAGCCGTGGGCAAGCCTTTTATACTAGCGAACAGATGGAGATGTTCTTTAGCTGATAGTGCATTCCAAAGAGAGTCGAACTACACAAGGTAAAAATTGCTTTGGCTTCTTTGTTTTGAACTTTGTTGAAACTTTGGGAAGGATGAAAAGTTACCTGCGCACAGACTCCTACCAGTCTTCTGATTGTTGACATTCCTTTTGAGCTTCGAATAGAATTGCCGTAGATGATTGCTGCCAAAAGGAAGCGAACTTGATTATATCTGTACTTTTTCTATCAATCAATCTACAATCCTTATTTGAAAAGGTAATGGGGCAGCTCCATTTAAGTTTTCTTTCATTCAATCCGAGTTGATGTAATTCTTGCAAGATTTGGTATATTTCTCATTGAGTTTTTACATATAAGGAAAGTTGATGATTGCACAAAATGTCGTAAGAATTACACCAGCCAACGACAGATTCAGACAAAACTCAAGTGGGCATGCCTGTGTCCATTTCAAAATATAAAAGACAAGAAAAATCTTTACCATCTCCATGAGTCACAGGAGTGATTCCCGTCAAACAGCTTATTAAGGTAGACTTGCCAGCTCCATTTGGTCCGAGGAGACAGAACAACTGATTCTTTGGGAAATTCATCCAGAGATCCTGAGAAGAAAGTTCATATCACGTTGTAATGAATGCATTATCTTCATTGAGACCTCGAAATTTCGTGCGATAATGACGGGGAAAAAAAAAAGAGAACACATTTCGTTACTATTTTACTGAGGACACAAGTTGTTTTTCTGCTGAGGAGAGTACTAAATAAAAATAACCAAATGCTGTTGCTTAGATCTCAATTGTGCTCTGGAAACTACCATAAGCATAATCTATGTTCCCTTTGTTCCTAGACAAAAATTTAAAAAAAAAAAATTTACAGAAAACATTAGTGAAAGCCTTTGAGAGTTTGAGATTGCAAGAAACAACTGAAGCATTTATATGTGAAGATATGGCTTCTTTGAAGTTCACTGTTCAGTTTGGAAATCCAGATCTCTCATTACTAATTCCAGTTACGTCAATATGAAGATTTTTACCTTCACGGCCACAAAAGGTTTTGTAATCTTGCATGTACAGCAAAAATAGCAAAAGCAGAACCGGTGGCATCTTATCTTTAATGCCATAGAATATGACTTAGTAAGGCTACGCAACTGAACAGCAACATCTGGATCAACAGTCCCTTCGATTGTTGCTTTTTTGACAGATGCTTCCTCTTCATGAACATCCTCATCATCCGGAGTGAAATGATCCGGCTGTGTAGGGGACCTAGATGCAAGATGTCTGATGTCCTCTGCATTATGAGGTGAGAAATGTACTGTCAATTATAGCACCGATCGTGGATGCCAGAAATCATAATTACAACATGGGTTGCTGTTTTACCTGTCAAGTTACTATCTCCTCTCCCTGTCCAATAGCTTGGTTTCAAGAAGTATAGACGTGATTTTCTCAAACCAGCAGAGTTGGGGACTATATTATCAAAATAAATAGCCACAAGAGACCAGAAAAAGAACAAAGAGACAAGCCATAAATAAAAGTAGACCTGCCAATGATAAAAATTGATTTGTTAAAGTGTCGACAATAGATATCAGCTGTTCAACTTGAATAATGAATAAAGTGATTTGATCACTGAAAGCATGAATACGTGAGATCAAAATAAGGAACAATAAATAGTGGAAGAGAGCTCTGAACCAAGGATGCTCGTCAAAACAAGTATTGATGGAGCATACTTGTAAACGAAGAGGATTTGAAGCTTTCGTACCATTGAAACACAAGGATCTCCCAGTAATTTGCACTCCGCTCGTTGACTCCACCTAATGCCACCTTCCCTTGCTGCCTCTTCAAGCACGGTAAAACCTCCAGCAAAAGGATTAGGTGGAAAAAATGACCACAAGATGCGATAATTACTATTTTTCACTGTTCCGTCGTAGAATAGCGAAGAAAAAATCTAATAACCAAAAGCAAAAAGGGTCAATAATCATAGAATTATTACAATGAATGATTGTTCTGGAGAAGAGACACTTGCCACTGTCACAAGTCCAAAAGCAAGGATGAAGAAGCCCACAGTTGTGGCTGAAGACGACTTGCTGAGTAGGGTTGAAATCATGAATGCAAAGCTAACCTAAGATTTTGAGGCAGAAGATTTAGCCATAATTCCAACAGTGATGCTGACATTGATTGCAAAAGCAATAAGGGAAAGGCACAAATCCAGTGATGGAGCTTACCATGCTAATCATGAAAAGGAAAAATAGAAGGAATACTAGGAAAATATTGTTTTTCATGAAAACATCATCTCGAAACATTGTCCCAAAAGCAACAATAAGCAAAGACGTCAGAAAAGCCATGAACCCTTCCCATATGAACCATGAAGTCCAGTAGGCACTGTCGTAGAGGCCCATTATACTCATTGTCTGCAACACAAATTGTAGTATGAGGGGAAAAAAAGTACCAACTTGATGTTGCTGATCTAAAATCAAAGTACAAGGTCAACTACCTGTCGAAGTTTCAGCTCTTTCTCCAGAACCAGAGAATGAATTCGATATGTGAAACCAAACATAGCAACTAAAAGATAGAAAATTGCTGGAAAGCTGGCTGCAAATAAATTATTCGCACCGCTATCCGCAGAGTCAATGTTTCTGTGAGGGTCTGCAGAACCAGCATCAATGCTTGAACTGAGATCTGATGCTGGAATATCACATCACCAGTTTAGTCAGGTGCTTGATGAAAATTTAAAAAAAAATCAGAGAACTTAAAAAGTTCAAGAACCTAAAAAAGCAGAGAACTTCAAGTTTTCGGAAATGTGAAAAAACATGTAATGAATCTGAGATATGAAACCAAACAGAGCAACTACAAAAGAGAATAGTGCCGGAAAACTTTCTGCAAATGGATTACCATCGTAGCTATCTGAAGAGTCAATTCTTCTGGGAGGGTGCGCAAATTCTTTTAGACCAACATTAAAGCTGAAATTGGGATCTGAGAATTAGGTATCAAACCACCAGTTCATTCAGGTAATCAACAAAAATCTAATAAATCAGAGAACTTGAGCTATTCGTTGCAAAGCAAATTACAATAACTACCTCCAATTAAGGATCTAGAAATTTCACGCGATACAGCATACTGAAGGGGCACTTGAAACTTGAAAACAGGATCCTCAATTTGCCTTCCAAATTCAAAAGAAGAAGATGAATTGATTTCTATACCATATCTTATTTCCTCGGCATTTCTTTCAAAAAGGTGTAGAGCTCCAGGGCAACGCATTGGATTATCCAAAAGCCATTTATCCAATTCATCTTTTGTTCTAAATGATTTGACCTGCACAGAAACATAAATCCCCTAATCGTGCCAGCAAACCTTAAAACACATAACCATATAATGTCAGTAAATAAAGAAACTCAGAATTCTCCGTTCTTGGTTCCATTAACTCAATTAAACTTTTCCTTATTCAACTGCTACATATAGTTGTGAAACATCATATATGTATCATATCCGCCAAAAAAGAAAAAAAAAAAAGAAGAAGAATACAGTGGTTTGATTGATAGCTTTATTGTATACCAAGGAGGGCTCTAATCAACATGGCATAAAAACTAGCAAAACTTCACACACCATGGAAAATCTAAAGGATTTCACTAAACGAAGTGAAAAAGAAAAAAAAAAAAACCTTATTCCATACCCATGCATGCAAATGATTATAGAGGGAGACAAAGAGGAATTCATCAATCAGTAGAATCTTTACCGAATTCCAAAATGGGGGAAAACAAAGGGGGAGACAAAAGAAAATTTACCTTACTCTGACGAATTGTGCGACCAGGGTTGTTAGTAATGATGCCATTGACAATGGACTCAAGTCTTTGGTTTCCACTGCCACTCCAAACAAAGTCAAAACATGGAACATTGATGATCAACTTGTCCTCACATGCAGGAATTGGAGGATTAGTGATGGGTTTGGGATCACGAACTTTTGCAGAGAAATTAGGTCTGCTCTCTGTGTAGTTATTGGTCTTCCTTAATGCAAACATAAAAGCAATGAAGAAGAATGAAGAGAAGAGTTGAAGAAATGTTGATCTTCTGTTTCTCCATGCAAGAATGAAGTTCTTCCTAAGCAAAGCATTGATTTGCTGCAACAAGAGTGAAAACCCACTTAGCAATTCCATTGATTCAGTAGTCTCAAATGCTTCTTTGCCTTCAAAGTTTTCCTTTTGATCCCTTTCTCTGGAACTCTTCAGTCTTCCCTATATCTTTGTCATTTTGCGAAGTTTAAGGTTAAAATGCTGACAAGACTCTTTCTGGTTTGCGGTGCCCTTGGGATCCGTGAGACTTTAATTCATCCCGGCAAATTTGTGCCGATTTTCTTGAAATTGCCCAAGCAAAAGATCACCAACTCGAGAAGATTTCTTGTTTCACAGTAGTTAAAAAGGAAAAACTGCTAGCAACAGTACTATTAATGTGAAGAGAGTAATGGATAATATATCCTTGAAGCATTGAATTTGAACCACTTGAAAGTGTTTGTACCTTCTTGAAAGGTTCATTGAATGTGTCATAGATGTATACTTTCAAGTTTGTTACGGGATGGTTATTAGACACTCAGTTAAAAGATATTTTACTTTTTAAAATATAAAATTAATTAAAAAAAGCAAATAAATATAAGAGAGAGTATAATATGCAAAAATATGCAAATGTAGAGGAGGAGTAATAATTGTAATATGTGTATATATATATATATATATGGTAGATTATGTGAATTTTAGATGTGTTAATGAATATTCAATACTGAAAAAAATTCGTATATAAATTATAAAAAACTTGTCGGTTAATGAAAAAATAAATAATTTTTTTAAAAAAAGCTTAAATCTAGGAATTAGTTGCATTAATGAAGCCGATGTATCTTAAACCTTTGTCACTAGTCCAGGTAAGCATTGTCCTCATCAATCGTAATTTGAATTTGACACGTAAGATTTTTGTGTGGCCGTTTCCTCTTCTATCTTGGTTTTTTGTCGAGTTCAATTTGCAAGAAAGAAGAGTGATACTACCAAAGAGGCAGTTTGAACAGTTGGGAGGCACTGGAACTTGAGTCCTCCTTGAGAAATAGGGAAACTTCCAATTAAGAAGGTGAACAATGAGAGATTATTAGGTGAATCCCAGCAGAAAAAGAGAGGGAGGGGGTTGAATCATCATTTGATGTTTTAGTTGTCTGAGACAATTTTCTTCTTGCTAGAGAGCACAGCAAAAGAAGCATCCAACCTAACAATGGCAGGATTCTGGAATCAAACGGTCGCTTTGACTAGAAAGAACCTCATATACCATGTATGTTGTAGAGCCTACTTCGTTTAATTCATTTCATTTCTCTTGGATCGATCATCTGAAAATTTCTGCTTCTATGAACACTGTCAATTTTGTTCTTGTAGTTATGTATTGAGAAGTTGTAGCTTTGTGAATATGTTCATGTAATTCATGCATGCATTTGGTTTTATATAGTTGTCATCTAGTTAAACACCTAGTACTATCAGGAAGCTGTAAACAAGAAATCAGCATAAAATTCCGTCTATTTTAATTTTTGATTAAAAGTTTACAACTACTATGTTTCATGTTTTTAATATTTCAGAGACGGCATCTGAGGTCGAATTTAAGGTTGATTCTGTTCCCTGTTATCCTTTATCTGTCGGTTGGTTGGCTCCGACGCTATCTGGCGAAGAAGAATGTGTTTGGGGAGCATTCCAACGCAAAAATGGCAACAGAAGGGACTCCTTTGCTTCTAATCCCAGCTGCTGAGTTCCGAGCAGTGAAAACTAGCCAAATTCCGCAGTCAAATGATTTGCCAGACAAGTCTTGCAGAATAAACGGCTCTTGTCCCGCAACTATACTAATAACTGGGAATAACAGAGATTTTGGAGAAAGTATTCCACCTTTTCTAAGGATTTTTGGCTTAGTTTACATATGATGAAATACAGTCTCTAAAATTTTGAAACTTCGCCTCACCTTCATTGGTGACTATTGACAGGCGTGGCTGGAAATATGTTCTCAAATTCCTCCTGCGGTCTCAATAATACAGCAGATTGTGTTTTTGTAATATTTTCTCTTTTTTGCTCTATTGGTTACTTGTTCTTACCTGTATCAGACTTTTCCCCAACTATAAGCCCAAAGTATCACAATCTATTCTTTGCATTCATCTTATTTTGTATCAGCAGTGTGAATCTTTTTTGTGCATTTCAGGGGAAGACTGATAAGACTTCTGAGAAGAAATATTACCATCTTCAATCTCAATGCAAAGCAAATTTCACAATTCCAGTCCGTACTCAGGATGGAACAGAAGGTATGACTTGCTACTACAGACCTATGAAGTGAAATGAATCGATGATGAAATTGTCTATGTTTTTGACCTGTGACGTGATAGACAGGGCAACTTTGTCATTCGAGTTTTGAACACTCAACTAATTCATCTTTTATCTTAATAACCGTCAACTTTGGCCTCCTCTAATATATACATACATACATACATATATATGTCTGCGTGTGTGTGTGTGTGCGTGTCTATAGTCATGCACATATTCATACTTGCAGTGCTTGTTTATTCTGGTGATCAAATACTCAAATTCTCTTCCTCTGATTCTATTCAGTGACTGAATGTCTTCAAGGCTTACTTGCGTGGCGCAAGAACTACATGGAAATTAATGATGAACTGTATGATGGCCAGTACAAGAATGGGGAGATAAATGAAATACTGGCTGGTCGGTCATTACTTTTTTCCCCTATCCATGCTTCTATTTGCTGGAACTATGTGCACTCCTGTTGTTTCTTCTGTGTTAGTAAGCACTGTTTTTTTATTCTAACAGCATATGACTTTCGAGATTCAGACATGAAGCATTTTGATGTACATCTGTGGTATAATACTACTCCTACAAGCTCAGAGAAACCACCAAATGAGGTGCCTGTTGGAAGTACTTTGAACATGGTACCATCCCTTAACTTTTTCAAAATTTTCTGCTTCTTGTTTAAGATTCTAATTATGCATTTCCAAGATTGAAAATGATGTTCATTAAGCCTCATTTATTGTTAATTAGGAGGACAATTTTGGTTGCATAAAGTTTAAGTTGATGATTCCTAAGTGAAATATCTTTGCAATCCTTAAGCTTCTCCTCCATATTGGTGTTACTTTAAGGCATTTCTTGATGACCACCAGTATACATTCGCCACAATTTTTTTATATATATCCCTATTTTCATATGTACACAGGTTTGGAATGCCTATCTCCAATCTTTGCTTGGGCCTTCTGTAAGAATGATCTTTGAGTTTATTGGAGAGATGCCCAGAGCAAGTACTAATGTCACATATGATTTTGCATCTTCAATTGGGCTTGTGTTTTTTACATGGGTAATACTGCAATTATTCCCGGTAAGTGCATGAATGCGTGTCTCACTGAATGAAAGTAACTGACAGGTGGATGACGATACCAAAATCCATGCATTTGGTTTCACCTTCCGTAATCCAATTAATTTGTCTAATGTCTTTTTGCCGCAATTACTTTAACAACTGAAGGACTTTCCAGTCTCTATTATTCTTTGACATAATCATCTCAGTTGGACTAACGATATTGAACCTGGACTATTCAGCTCATAATGTGCTCATCCATATATATTTGGTCATCATGGCAATTTTTTTGAATTACGTGGATGGTAGGATCCTGGAACTACACAAATGATTTCTATGAAGAAAACACCAGCTAACTGAACTTAAGCTCATTTATTTGACATTTCACAGGTTCTTTACATGTTTCGTGGGGAAGCTTCATTTTACATAAAGGATCAGAGTAAATTAACATTACTATTTTTCCTTGTGAAACATTATCAATTTTCTGACTGTTTCAATTTTCATTTTGTGATTCTGAATTAGGTCATTTTAACATCCCTGGTTTATGAGAAGCAGCAGAAGCTAGCAACGATGATGAAAATGCATGGTCTTGGCAATGCACCTTATTGGTTGATTACATACCTCTATTTTCTCCTCATCTTTTCACTCTACATGGTTTGTTTTGTAGTATTTGGCACACTGGCAGGTAAAACATGAACTTAAGGCTTTCAAGTTACTAAACAATCTGTTCACATTGCTTCACATATCTGGTTATTGTGCAGGGTTAACCATCTTCACGTTGAACTCGTATAGCATCCAAAGTGTGTTTTATTTCATCCACATAAACTTACTAATTTCTGCAGCCTTTCTGCTCTCAACGGTCTTTTCAAGTGCAAAGAGTGCTTCAGGAAAGTACAGCATAACTCGGTTTGAATTAGATGTATTTTTCTGATTAACATGTCTAACGTGCTGGGTATTGCAGTTTTTGGATTCGTGCTGGTCTTTGGCAGTTGGTTAGTGGGGGGATTTTTTTTTAAGCGCTTGATTGCAGATGTTTCATTTCCAAGTATGTTGAAATCATTGCTCTATCCATTACCTGTTATGTTTCCAGAAAATGTTTTAGATTTTATTGTTTTCCTACCCAAACATTGACATTCAGATATTTTACCAGTTTTATTTCCTTCATAGACTGTTGGATATGTAAATTAGCAAAGTCTAAAGCTACTCGTTTTGAAGTTTTACATTCCACTTTTATTAGGGTATCAACTTTTACCATCTTGCTTGAACTCCAGGTGGCACCTTTTGCTATGACTCATGTTGCATACCTATCCACCTTTTCATATTCGGATTTTGGGATTACATATCAGTTGCTACCCAAGGAAGGTGCTAGTTTCAGTGGGGAAAAAGAGCATTAATTTATCTGTTCATTCTCCTTTCTACAAAATGACTAACACTTCATCGATAATCAATTATTTTTCAGTAAGCAAGTCCACTAAGAACTTGCCATTAACCTTTGATTATGGTCAACTTGTACAAATTGTGTTCATTGTGAGTTTGTGATGAGAGTGGATGTGCAAAATTTTGTGTTTCATTTAAGGACCATCTGATGTCCTTGTTAAGAAATATGAACATGCAACGTTAATGGTACTACTAGATCTTTGAGGTTCTAGAATGCGATCTAAAGTTTGTTTTGCTCTTATTTATATGTCTATATTTCATTAATCCTAAAACTGTATACAATCAGAGATGCAGTTCTATGTTTTAAGTTCTACTCTTCCTAGAGCACTGAGACTTCTTGGTACTCTGTAGT